CTTTCTTCTCAAATCAGTCAGTCACACAGGATTCATTACTCTGTATCTAACCCCGTGCTGTCCCTGTCCTGGGGAGTGTTCGATGGGGGACAGTGTAGAGAGACCTTTACTCTGTATCTAACCCCGTGCTGTCCCTGTCCTGGGGAGTGTTTGATGGGGGACAGTGTAGAGGGAGCTTTACCCTGTATCTAACCCCGTGCTGTCACCGTCCTGGGGAGTGTTTGATGGGGGACAGTGTAGAGGGAGCTTTACTCTGTATCTAATCGCGTGGAATATATTTTGACACACAGCAACAATGCCAGCTCGATGGAAGATGGATGCCAAGGCCGAGAATGGTTCAGGGGTCACCGCGACCAGTTTAGGCCCTTTTAGTAAAGTCCATGAGATGGAGATCGTGCACAAGAGGCCTGTTGACAAGGATTACCTCGCACCAGGAGGCCCAGACGACGGTCGGAGCTGCAAGAAGGGGAGCGCTGTACAACACCCTCCCCATGTCACCGTGGTAACCTCAAGCAGCCTGCCTGGGGATCCAGGGTCTGAAGCCAAGCCGGCCTCGGATGGAGGGAGGCCAAGCCCCAATGGGGCCCCGCCTGTTGCCAACACAGGTCAGCCGAGCAATCCCTTTGAGGAGGGGTCCGCCACCCCACCCCAGCCCTGCAAGCCTGAGGAGCTAGGCCGCAATGACATTGCCCAGCAACCACAGACTGGAAAGATGGATGACAGGTAAGTGAGGGAGAGGAGTTTGGCGACATTGTTAATGAGTCTCTTCCATTCGAGGTAAAGATGTGTTGCTGAGGTTGTGTAAGGATCTGGTCAGGCCACATTCGGAATATTGTGAGCAGCTTTGGGCCCCGTATCTAAGGAATGATGTGTTGGCCTTGGAGGGGGATCCACAGGAGGTTTACAAGAATGATCCTGAGGATGAAGGCTTTGTCGTATGAGGAGCGGGTGAGGACTCTGGGTCTGTGCTCGATGGACTTTAGAAGGATTGGGGGGCGGTGGGATCTGGTTGAAACTTACAGAATACTGAGAGGCCTGGATAGAGTGGATGTGGAGAAGGTGTTTCCACGAGTAGGAGAGACTAGGACCCGAGGGCACAGCCTCAGAGAGAAGGGACTGAGGTGGGGAGGAATTTCTTCAGCCAGAGCGGGGTGACTCTGTGGGAGTCATTGCTGCAGAGGGCTGTGGGGGCCAAGTCATTGAGTGTTTTTAAGACGGAGGTAGATAGGTTCTTGATTAGTAAGGGATAAAGGATTTTTTAAATTCATTCACGGGATGAGGGCGTCTCAGGCCAGGCAGCATTTATTGCCCATCCCTAATTGCCCAGAGGGCCATTAAGAATCAATCACATTGCTGTGGGTCTGGAGTCACAGGTAGGCTCAAACCAGGTAAAGATGGCAGTTTCCTTCCCTAAAGGACATCAGTGAACCAGATGGGTTTTTCCAACAATTGGTAATGGATTCACGGTCATCATTAGAGTCTTAATTCCTGATATTTATTGAGTTTAAATTCCACTATCTGCCGTGGTGGGATTTGGACCTGGGTCCCCAGAACAGTATCTGGGTTTCTGGGTTAACAGAGAAGGGGGAGAAGGCAGGAGAATGGGGTTGAGAAACATATCAGCTATAATTAAATAACAGAGTAGACTCAATGGGCCAAATAGCCTGATTGTGCTCCTATATCTTATGGTCTTTTTATAGGCCTCAAGCCTGCATTGGCCCTCCCACTTGCTACCCATCTCTCCGTGCCTGCAAAGTCAGGGCTGCAACAGCAAAGTGATTTTGTCACTGGATCAGAACTCCAGTGTTGAATCCTGGAATGGTTACTGTGCAGTAGGAGGACCTTCGGTGCATCAAATGTCCCCGCTGGCTTTCTGAAGGAAGAACGCAGCCAATTCCATTCCCCATCACCCTCTTGTCTTGTCTTCCTGTTCAAATAATTATGGGGTCTTAAGGCGAGAAATGATAAGCAAGACCGTGACAGGAAGGGACAGTGAGTTGAAAACCACCAACATACAGGTCTAGAAGTTACCAAAAATGTAAAAGGATATAGTGAAAGGCTGTGTATCCGAATACGTGGAGTGGCATGGGTATACGTTATGGAGGAAAGTGAGTTAGAGGAATTAATAATGGAAAATAAGGCACTGGCTGATGAATGGGAGAGGTATTTTACATCGGTCATAATGATAGGGGATACAAGTAACATCACAGAAGCAGCGATAGGTTAGAAAGTGGAAGGGATTGAGGAATTCAGGACAATCACAATTACCGAGAAGTGGTCACGAGTAAATTGTTGGGAGTGGGGCTGAGAAATTAAAAGTCCTGATGGATTTAATCCTAGGATCTTAAAAGAAGTGAGACAGTTGATGCATTTGGTTTTATTTTTCACAACTCCTTTGAGTCAGGGAAGATCCCGTGAGACAGGACAATAATGAGTGAAACTCCTTTATTTAAAATGGGGGTGGGGGTTGAGAGAGAGAGACAGAGACAGACAGAAAACTATACGGCATCTTTGTCATTCACTTAACCTGTCAATATCTTTTTGTTATCCCCTGTGCCTTCTCCACAAATATTATGGACCATACCAGACAACCTCAAACTATATTAAGAAGGTAGCCTCGACCCTAACTTTTCTTATTTTAAAGGTAAATGGCAGGCTGTGTTCCAGATACAATTTGACTGGTCAAACTGCTCGATGTTAAGCAAACCACAATTTATTCAAATGCTGTCATTAAAACATAACAAAAGAGAGAAGAACTTGGAATGACAACTCTATTACAAAACTTAACAGAATAATAGGTACACTAACTGTTACTAATTAACTGTTCAAATATAGTAAATAAATGCAATAAACGCAGCCTTTGGCAAAGGGCAAATTCACAAAACAGATTTTGTCTCACATGCAATCCAGCAGCCCAGGAAGAGTACCCCCCCCCCCCCCGGTGTTTAGCTTAATCAAGAGAGGGGAAACAAATAGCTCCCACTTCTTTAAGACCTCACCAGCAACTGCTGAAAACTCAAATTAAAATCCCTGGTTCTGTGGGTGGGAGCTCAGCCACACCCATTCAGGCTGCTTCTATTGTTCTAGCCTTTTTAAAAAGAAAACACGCAAGGCTTCACAAGTTGCTCATCTTCTCACAGACTGCTTTGTCACCTGTCCCTCCAAGTCTTTCTGTCTGAAGGAACCCAGGGCGAAACACACCTCTTAAAGCTGCAGCACCATAAAACAAGTTACTAGCAGAGAAAATGTTCAACGCTATCATTGAGGAAGGTGCAGCAGGGCCCTTCTGAAAAGGTCAGGGTGATCGGGTGGAGTTAATATGGCTGCGTGAAAGAGAAGCTATGGTTAACCAATGTCATGGAGTATTTTTTTCAGGAAGTAGCACACATGTGTTGGGGATAAGGGGGAACTGGTAGATGTAATGTACCTCGATTTCCAGACGGCATTTGATAAGGTGCCACATCAAAGGATCTTGCGGAAAATATAAGCTCATGGTGTCGTGCGCAATGCATTGATGTGGCTAGCTGACAGGACTTAGACAGTAGGTATAACTGAGTCTTTTTCAGGTGTGCCAGATAGGACAGTGGTGGGGTCCTAACTGCTTACAATTTATAGAAATGACAAGGGAAGGGGACGGCCTAGTGTTATTATCACTGGACTGTTAATCCCAAGACCCCTGTAATGTTTGTGGGATCCATGTTCGAATCCCGCCACGGCTATGGAATATGAATTCAATAAGAAGTCTGGAACTAAGAGTCTAATGATGACTCCATTGTGGGGGAAATCCCATCTGGTTCACTAATGTCCTTTAGGGAAGGAAACTACCATCCTTACCTGGTCTGAGCCTACATGTGACTCCAGACCCACAGCAATGTGGTTGACTCTTAACTGCCCTCTGGGCAATTAGAGATGGGCAGCAAATGCTGGCCTGGCCAGCGATGTCCTCATCCTGTGAATCCTTTGTCTTAAAGTGGAAAGTATGTTGGCCAAATTTGCAAACCAAACAAGGCCTAGTTCTCGCAAAGGCTCGAGGCCTAGTTTTTGGGAAAGCTCAAGGCCTAGTTCTTGGGAAGGCTCGAGGCATGCTTCTTGCAAAGGCTCCGGGCCTAGTTCTCCCAAAGGCTAAAGGCTAGAGGCTTAGTTCTCATGAAGGCCTGAGGCCCTGTTCGTGCAAATGCCCGGGGTCTAGCAAAGGCCTAGTTCTTGCGAAGGCTCACAGCCACATTCTCACAAAGGCTTGAGGCCTAATTCTTGAGATGGCTCAAAGCCTACTTCTCGAAAAGGCTCGAGGCCTAGTTCCCATGAAAGCCTGAGGGCTCGTCTTCTGCTTACCTTTTTGTTGTTCGTCTGATGTCATGAGGTGAGGCACGTTCCGATCTGTTGAACGTGCCTCAGGACCTGAAGCTGTGAAGTAAACCAGGAGTTTAAGCAAAAACGTGTTCTGAAGAAGGGTTGCCGGACCCGAAGCGTTAATTCTGTTCTCTCTCCACAGATGCTGCCAGGCCTGCTGAGTTTCTCCAGCATTCTCTGTGTTTGTTTCTGATTTCCACAGCTCTTTATTTCTATTTCAGTGCGCAGAGGTACCGATAGGTTAAGTGATGGAGTAAGATGTGGCGAATTGAGTATGATGTGGGAAAATGCGAAATCGTCCATTTTGTCAGGAAGAATAAAAATTAATTCAGGGTGAGAGGCTGCAGGGCTAGGAGATGCAGAGGGATCTGGGTGTCCTACTGTATGAGCCACAAACGATTAGTGGGCAGGCACAGTATTAATCACTAAAGCTAATGGAATGTTACGTTTTATTGAGAGGGGAGTTGAATACAAGGGTTATGCTTTAGTTACACAGGGTATTGATGAGACCACATCCAGAGTATGTGTATCGTATTGGTCTCTCTATTTAAGGAAGGATCTAAATGCATTGGAGAGGGTTCAGAGACGTTTTGCCGGATTAATCCCAGAAATGGATTATGAGGAAAGGTTGGATAGGCTCGGCTTATAGCCAACGGAATTTAGTTCAGTCAAATGTGACTCGATTGAAGCATAGAAGATCCTGAGTGGACTTGACAGACTGGATGGGGAGAGGATGTTTCCCCTTGTGGGAGAATTTAGAACGAGTGGGTCATTGTAAATTAAGGGACCGTCCATTTAAAACAGAGAATTTCTTCTCTCTTTGAGGATTGAGAGTCTGTGGAACTCAAAGGGCTGTGGAAGCAGAGTCTTTGAATATTTTTGATATTGCTTGATAAGCGAGGGGGGTGAAAGTTTAAGCGGTGGGGGTGGATGTTCCAGATCCCACCCACTTGCTTTCCCTTACCACATCTGTTCCTTTGGTGTTGCAGACAGAAAACTGTGCTGATTCTCAAGTCCAACTACATCACAGAAGTTAATGTTTTAATCTCATTACTCCAAGGTCCCAATTTAGCACAGAAAGCAGTGACCAGGCTTCTGCACAGAACTAGAAACCATCGCTAATTACAAATAAAACAGCTCCAACAGGCAAACAAAGATGCAAGTTAGCAACATAAACTCTCTAAGTTAACTCTATCCCTTCTTAAACCCTAATACACATATACGCACACACACGCGCACACACACACACACACACACGACGCTCGCGCACACACACAAGACTCTCTCTCACACTCTCTCTCGCTCACACACACACACGCACAAACTCAGACGCACTCACTCACTCTCTCACGCACACACACTCACATACATACACGCAAACTCACATGTGTGCTGACCAGGGAAAGACGGATGTTATGGAAGGGGACAACAACTTTAGAGGAACACAGTTTATAGCACCAGTCATATAAATAATATTCAATAGCACCCCTATCCCGGGAACCCTTCTTAAAAAGCTTTTCTGCATTGTCTCTAAGATCTGCACGTGCTTCCTGGAATGAGGGCCCCAAAGCTGGGTACAACTGCACCCTACTGCTCCCCCCCCACCCCATGAAATGTCAGATTGTCCTAAAAACGCAACTTGTTCCCTGGAACTGCTTTCAGGAAGGGAATCTGACTTCACAGCCCAGACTTCAGCCCCACAAGCTATTCGATTGCCCCATCTTATAGTCAGCTCAACTCAGCTCCCCCTATCAAAAACTGCTACAATAAACTACCATCTTCTGTAGGATCATTGAAGGAGATGGCTCGGCCAGTCCAATAGCACCACATCCCCAGCCCCTGCCTAGCCTCCAGATCCAAATTCTCTCAGGAAGGACTTACTGCAGATCCTTATAGACAAGGAAGAAATGGGAATTTAGGAACCGATCATGACTGTAGGCTTGCTCTAACACAGGGCAACTCTCAGGCTGAGCTGGCCTTTTGTGGTAAGACTCTAGTTGTTGCATTCTGGTTCTGATTCAGTCGTTGCGTGTTAAATTCCGGTATTGCATGTTGGATTACAGTCATTGTGTGTTGGGTTATAGTATTGCATGTTGGGTTCCAGTCACCGTGTGTTGGGTTCAATTCATTTGCATGTTGGGTTCCAGTTATAGCGTGTTGAGTTCTAGTGTTTTGTGCTCCCTGTTATTTCATTTTTGGGTTCCAGTCACTCATGCCATGTTGAACTACACCCACTGTATGTTGATCATCTTTCATACTGTGCTACCCTTGCTGTTTTAGCTCTGCCAAGCTGACTGAAGCCACAGGAGAGAAACCATTGCCCGCTCCGCGTCTAAAGAAGAGGCAGCACAGTTTGACTCTGCCCACCCAAACTCTGGCAACGCCTGGTGGGACCGCGGTCGCCTCTGCAGGAGCTCCAGACCCAACGGGCACATCCAAGGTGTCAATGCCACTGTCTGACACCATTAGCCACGGTTCGGAGCACAACCCCAATGCGGAAGGGTCAATCCCAACCAACAACGCGCAGGATGGTACAGCTGGCACCAGCAGGTCCACTCCCAGCTCTTTGGCCACGCAGATGACACCACCCTCGAGGGACTCCGCAACCAATCAGAAGGAGGATGAAAGCAAAGCCAAGCAGAAAGCCCCACCTCCACTGTTACTCCTCAATAGGAGTGCCAAATCCAAGCTGGGAGCTGTGAACTCAGAGGAGAGAGCACGGGAACCCTGTTTAGTAAGCCTTGATCATGCAGGCTCAATCTCAGCAACGGCTCGTCTCCTACCTGCACTGACAGGGTTAGCTCGTGAGGGCTAGGTGGGGCCTACAGCCATTGGAATTCGGAAGAATGAGAGGGAACCTTATCAGATCCTAACAGGCCTGGACAAGGGGGGGGATGCTGAGGTTATTTCCCCTTGTACTGACCCTCCGCCAGTGCGGCGCTCCCTCAGCACTGACCCTCTGCCAGTGCGGCCCTCCCTCAGCACTGACCCTCTGCCAGTGCGGCGCTCCCTCAGCACTGACCCTCTGCCAGTGCGGCCCTCCCTCGGCACTGACCCTCTGCCAGTGCGGCGTTCCCTCGGCACTGACCCTCTGATAGTGCCCACTCCCTCAGCACTGACCCTCCGACAGTGCGGCGCTCCCTCAGCACA